GCAGCAGTAGTAGCAGCAGCAGTAGCAGCAGCAGTAGCAGTAGTAGTAGTAGTAGTAGCAGTAGTAGTCAGTAGTAGTAGCAGTAGTAGTACTAGTAGCAGTAGTAGTAGTAGTAGTAGCAGCAGCAGTAGTAGTCAGTAGTAGTAGCAGTAGTAGTAGTAGTAGTAGTAGTAGTAGTAGTAGTAGTGTAGTAGTAGTAGTAGTAGTAGTAGTAGTAGGAGCAGTAGTAGAAGTAGTAGCAGTAGCAGTAGTAGTAGAAGAAGATTAAGTAGTTTTAGTAGCAGTAGTAGTAGTAGTAGCACTAGTAGTAGTAGTAGAAGAATATTGAGTGGTTTTAGTAGTAGTAGTAGTAGTAGTAGTAGTAGGAGTAGGAGTAGCAGTAGCAGTAGCAGTAGCCGCTGCAGTAGCAATGGCAGTAGCACCGGTAGCCGTGGCAGCGGCAGTGACAGCAGTGTTAGCAGCTGCAGCAGCAGCAATGAGAGAAGTAGCCGCAGCAGCAGTAGCAGCAGCAGCAGCTGTAGCAGTAGCAGTAGCAGTAGCAGTAGCAGCAGCAGTAGCAGAAACAGAAGCAGAAGCAGTAGCAGCAGCAACAGCAGCAGCAGCGGAACCACGTCGTCGTCTCGGTGTCAGTGGTAGTAGTACTGGTAGTCGTAGTCGTAGTCGTAGTCGTAGTAGTAGTCCAGTAGTAGTAGTAGTAGTAGTAGTAGTAGTAGTAGTAGTGGTAGTTAGTAGTTAGTAGTAGTAGTAGTGGTAGTTAGTAGTAGTAGTAGTAGTAGTAGTAGTAGTAGTAGTGGTAGTAGTAGTAGTAGTAGTAGTCGTAGTTGTAGTAGTAGTAGTAGTAGTAGTAGTAGTAGTAGTACGTAGTAGTATTGCTTTGTTAAACACGATGACTCTTGCTGTTTCTTGCCGGCTCGGGTTCTTACACGAGATTGGGTCTAACCTGACGGGCTAAATACGTTTGGAGCGCATGCGCATGCTTGGCGCAAAGAACTCAATTGCCAGCACAGCATCTAAGACTTGGAGGCCTTCTGAGCTTTTCAGCTTTCAAATTGTCTGAGTCTACGAAACCCTGGCTTGGTTCTACAGATCGATGTAGTTCGTTGGTTTCTGCTTGAAATGAAGCTACCGTCGCAACTGCAACAGAATACTTTGAACCCTGATCCGCCAACAAGGAAATAAAAAACTGTTCGTTTCCCGGCGGCGGCTTCTCTTTCTCGACATCGTCGGGGTCCCAACCATAGCCCTCATCGCTTGGCAGCTCTTTCCTTAGGTGATGTTACAGGTTGGGCGGTGTGTGTTTGTTGTGCGTGTGTTGGCGCCTGTGATGGGCTTCACTTTCTTGTGTGCTTGTGGCGGGGCTTGAGGCGAGAGGGGCGGCTGGCTCTCTTGGCTACTACGCGAACCAGTCCAAACTTTAAGTCCCGAAGTGAGCTGCAAACTACGCACGGTGCAGCCATCAGAACCCGGACCCCTCTTGTGGGGGACGGACTTTCTAGACTTGATCTGAACCGCTCTCGCGACTCTGAAACGCGCGCAGCGCAGCCCAAAATCAAAACATCAAGCCCCTAAATCCCTCAACCCCCCCCCGACCCCCCCCCTCGAAACGCCTGAAGTAAAACTCTCTCTAGGCTTCCTTTTGATAGAGCCAGGGCACAGGTCGAACTTCTTCCGCGCCTCGCGGGCTGCCTCTATCTCCTCCTGGTCCGGGGTTGCCCGAAGTATCCGGAAGGGTACTACAGGGTCCCTATTTTGGGGTTCCCATTACAAGGGTACTACATGGTCCCTATATTGAGGTTCCCATTACAAGGTTACTACAGGGTTCTATAGCCAGGGATCGTACAATTTGGCGCTTCAGTGTGAAGGGTACAGGCTGTTTGACCTGCAGCGCCCTTGCCCGACTCCCCTCCCGGTGTCAAAGAGATTTGCCTTGAGGAATCAGAAACATGATAACGGACATTGCCATCCTGGCCGGTACACGGCTGCCAAGGCTGCATCCACATCTTGATCGTCATCAGCACTGCGCATCATCCTCATCCTGATCCTCATGATATTGATGATGATGATGATGACGATGATGATGATAATGATGATGAGGATGATGATGATGATGAAGATGATGAAGATGATGATGATGATGACGATGATGATGATAATGATGATGAGGATGATGATGATGAAGATGATGAAGATGATGATGATGATGATGATGATGAGGATGATGATGATGATGATGATGATGAGGATGATGATCACGACCCTGAGAACTCTGGGCCCTCACCCCTTTGCAGCCCCTAAATTCTCCAGCACACAGGGCTGTGGCAAAAGGTCGCCTGCGTGGGCTTGGCGTGGGTCTCCACACGCAAGTCCTGGGCCAAATGGAATGAAGCATCATGCCGCTTCAGGGCTGCAGGCAGGATTCTGCAGTAGCCTTGGGCTTTGGTAATTTCTGAACTTCGGGATCCTCCTTGCCGGCTCTGGCTCGACATGAAAAGCATTAATGGTGTCAGTGTGGAGGCACACGGCATGTGCCTGCATCTGGGGTTTTTGGGTTGGATTGCAAGCGGAAGCCGCACAGCACAGAAGCTGAAGTAGTCCGTGTTCCGTCAAGCATCCGACGGCACAAACAGAGCAAGACAAGTCTGACCCATCCCCTAAAGCCTAAACCCCGAAACCCTGTGCCCTTCAACGGCCCAGGCTCCCGAGAGGCAGAGAGCAGTGCCAGCCGACCATTGGCCAGCTCCGCATTCCTCGGAACGGCAAGTTGTGAGGGAGCCTTTTCGCCTTAGGCCTGCCGTGGGCTGCGCTAGGTATTGTTCAGGGTTTGCTTTATAGGTCCCGGTCCGGTTCCGGTGTACATCTGGCGATTTAGGGTATGCGACTTGGCATGCTTTGCAATCTGACGCCGGATGGGACGGTTGTGACTTCATCTCGACATTAAGCAAGCTCTGCGACATTGAGTTCTGGCAGCATCTCCAGACAATCCGGTCAACTTGAGTGCTGCTGAGGAACAGCTTGCCGGACATCTTCGCCGCCACCACACTCACCGGGCGGAAAGCACTCCAACCTCCATGGCGACGCAATGCAAACAAACTGAGTTTGAGATGATGGACTGATGCTGAAAGTCATAAGACGGAGGATAAACTATCGGAACCACTCATATAGTATGATTAATCGGAAGAACGCATCCCGGAAGCATGGCTACAATAAGAAGAATCAAAAGCACACATGAACACTCCTGAGTCATCGCAACAAAAGTGGCCGAACTTCTAGTGTCCTGGTAAACAAAATCACTGCAAAAGGTACATCCCTAAACCCCTTTAGCCCAAGCCCCTTAAACCACAAAGAGAGGTCGGGCGTTCCCTTGGCATTGCCCGACTATTGGAACCCTGACTCCGCCCTTAGGAAGCTTCCCAGACGACAGCTCTTGGGAGAGTCGCATCGTTCTCTTAGTTGCTGAATTCATAAGCCCAGAAAAGTGTACACTTTCAGTTTTATAGTAGGTAATATTATCCCAAAAAGTGTAAAGTGTATGCACTCAGCTACTGAGTTTTAGGGAGTTTCTGTTTCAGTGACAACGGTCACAATAAAAGCAGCACCACTGGCTCTAGTCCCTACCCTGGGCGCCCTCAGAGGCTTCGCAAACATGTATGTAAAACGAAGTCCTGAAATTGCAAAGTTGGAGTTCAGGGCTGCCTATTTGTCAAGCCCTTTGTTCATTGTGGTCGGGTGAGCCTGCTGGGCGATGTACCGGAAGGCTATTTTCCACCTGGCAGCCAATGGTGGCAGCTCAACATGCTCAGGAGTCTAACTTCAGAAAACTTGTGTAAATAGCTTGCACATTATATGAAACCCCTAACCCCTAAACACCCATACAACCGAAACCCCTAAAGAAACCCTGAGGCCCCAATGACTGGCTAGTCAGCTGGCCATTCGCACCCTGGCGACCTTGCATCATCATCTAGGGGCTTTAGTAAGGACCCTTGATACGGACCTTGTAGGTTATTGGGGTTAAGATGGAGACTACCTGGTTATATCAGGGGTATATAAGGACTATACAACGGTTATTTAACGTAGTGGGATGAAGGGTCCCTATTAGGGGTCCCTCCTAAAGTCCTTAGACATCAGCTGCAGCCTGCAAACAAGGCAGAGCTACGTCTGTGACATCCTCGTCTTTCGCGCGAGTCTTGCTCATAATCTCCTGGAAGGAGGACCAGTCCTCAAGTGACACATCGTGATTTTGCGGTTTATAGGCTTTTATAAGGGGTTTACAGGCTTTTAGGGTTTAGGGCCCAGGGTCTCCAGGAGATAAGGCCCAGCTGACCAGATTCTCCGGCGGCACTCGCGCAGCCTACGAGCAAAAACACACCTTGCAACCGAGGGTCTTCGTTCTGCAAGTCCGTTTCGGTGTGCAGCCGCTCCTACCAAGCCATCGAGGAACATACTAACCGGCCAAAGCCTAGGCATCTGCAGATCCCATGTGGGTTTGTCCAACACGCGGATCCAGGAGCACCTCAAACCTGCTTCCAGGTCACACGAACGCGATGCAGCCTCAGTTTAAGTACCTCTTGCTCTGCAACTCGCCCAAATTCCCCTAAAAACTAAACATCCAACACCCTAAGGCCTAAGCCCTCAGGCCCTACCCCCCAATCCCTGCATCGCCTCATCCCGGAAACGACGGCTCACACGGCTGCGACGGGCCACTGCCACACCGCCTGCAATGCACGCTGCGGCCAGCGCGGAGCGTAGGCCCAGGTCCTGCAATGTGGGAGTTTCCGGAAATTAGGGGTACCCTTTTTAGAAATCCTTATAATAAGGATCCGACTATTTCGGGTACTATATTAGGGTCCCCTATTTTCTGAAACCCCCATGTGAGAACAGAGGAGGATCAAACTGTTATAGCATGTTAAAGCCGCGTAGTTTTTTGGACAGTCGTATAAATGCTACCAGTACCGCGTGTGGCAGAAGGCAGAAGCCCGTCCTTCCGCTCCACATCCGGTCGGGTGCGGTCGATCTTGGGCTGCCGAGTCACGGTTGCCTTTGTCGGCACGCATGCAGTGGTTTAGGGCAAGTTATAAATGGGGGCCTGCCTCTGTCTCTGTCTCTGCCTGTAACCCTGTCCTTCTATCTGTCTGTCTGTCTCAGGCTCAGTCTCTCTGTCTGTCTGGGAACACTTGAACGAAAACAAGGCATTCGATCGATGATCCCACAGTGTCACATTGTTGCATATAGGCTATATAGTGCACATGCAGATGAATTGGCAATTCATGCTGGCCTCGTTCACGGTAATGCCCACGGATGGGGAGTAGCCCGACAGCGCCATGGCTCAACTAGCTTTAAAATGCTGTCTTCGTGTGGCCCCAGGCAATGCCAACTAGAACGTCGGTGCTGGGAAGCGTACTTGGTGCATGTTCACTTGGGGGTTCTTAGGTGAAGGGTCCTGTCAGGCAGCCACATCGCCTTGGTGGAAACTCGCCCTCTGAGCAACTTTGCTGCAGCGAGTGAGAGGTCACGACTCACGCTGCACACATGCAGCCGATGCAGAATATCGCCGTGTCTGAAGAGCTTGCAGGGTAGCATTCTCGAAGAAATCTAGGCCGAGCGTACCCAGAAGAGCTCAAAGTGGGAATCCGTGCCGCTACTTTAATAGCCCGCATGCCATTTAGGGAGGACTTGAAATTCCAATCGGGCTAGCCGGCAAAGTCTCCGCACTCTGGTCGCGCAACTTACAGTAGGAAGCCAGCAAGAGTTACTTTGCAACATATTGTCCCTCGAGGCAAGAAGGAATAGAGTGCGCCTCAGAGATTCCTCAGGCAAAACAAATGGGAGTTTCTGAAAACAAGGGGGTACCTTATTTTGGGGTCCTCAAAATAAGGATCCTACTATTTAGGGTACTATATCCGGATCCCCTCTTTCGGAAACCCCCAAATCAAACACTGGTAAGGTTACGAAGCAAAAACACGACGAAGATGGCAAGATTAGCTCTCCAAGAATAAGTGCGTACTATACTCTTCCGCGGGCTCCTGGTTTCGTATTTACTATGTTAGTATATCCCGAAACCCAATTCAAATCATTAAGGCCACTATATTAAATCCTGAAAGTAGTAACCCGTATGGTATCCCTAATGACCCTTTTACAAGGAACCCTACAAAAGAACCCTACTCTAATTCTAGCACCCGATGCTCGGGGGCCACACGCAGCAGAAGCTTTCCGCCTCCAGCGTGGAAGGCGATCGGGATCCTCGGGCAGACCATGGTTTACGGTTTTTGTTCTTTGTTTGTCACCTCTTTTCCACCTGCCTGAGTCAGTTATGGTTTACGGCTTAGGGTTTAGGGTTAGTCCAGAAAAACGGATGGCGCTTTACAAGCGTGACTAGAAGTTTGTAGAGCTTCGCTACATATGGCGTTAACAATTTGAAAGGGGTGTTGGGGTAGCTATGCTACTATGACGAACCGGCATCTGAAGAATTAGACTTTAGGGCCAATTGGGCGGCTGGTCGGGATTTCCGCCGACAAGCCTCACTACGAAATTGAAATTCAGTGGAGCTCATTCCCAAGATGTTCATACAACTTCAAACGCCCCTGAAAAGAAGTGGAATGTACGGGCCTGAACGAATAGTAATGCTATTTTTCATGGCCTGAGGGTTCCTCATTCGGGTCTGCGCCGAAATTTCCAGAAGCCCAGAGGCTAAGAGCTTTGAGGGCATTGTGAGCGCCGGCTTGAGGCTCAAGGGGCGGAATGAATGTACCTCGAGGGTTGGGGGTTTAGGCTTTAGGGTTTTGGTTGAAGTCTGGCCTCTTGGCACCGAGATTGCATGACAAGAAAGTGCAAAGCTCCCTTCCAAGCAAATCCCGTCCTGTCGGGTGTTGTGCTGCTCATTGCGGTAGATCACTTCCTGCAGGGCAATGCCGCAGTACTTGCAGGAGCCTGTTTAGATCCTTCTGCCAGCTAGCATGTGTGAAAGAAGCAATGGCGGCAGATCTCATGTACCCAACATGATGTTGGTATGATTGCTTTCGACGACTTTCAGTCGTTAGCCCCTGCCCTGTGCTTGTCAATACTTCATTCCCACGGCCGGCGGTGTTTGCAGGTTTTTTAACTCCATGGTCTGCGAAGTCGCGAAGAGGATGCTACGTGAAGGTCCCACAAAGACCCTCCGGCAAGGATGCCATGCCCCCTACACGCTAGCTGCCACTAGCAATCTTCGCCATGTTTAAGCAACCTCGGGAGGAAAAAGGCAGCAACAGGAAAACATTCTTGCGAAGAGCTCCGCACTGCGACTGCCATAACCCGGCAGTCGCGCGGCACGCAGAGACATGCCACGAAAGTGAGAAAAAGCAAGGGGTAGAGAGAAGGAGAGACAGCGAGCCATCGCGTTAGTCATCGTGCGAGTGAGCCGAGACTGGGATACACGGTTGGGAGCAAGCAGGAAAAGCGTAGATTCCCCGGTATATGGTGCAGTACATACAGTCCGACATAGAGAAAACAGCATATTGTTTGCATACTACAGGATCTCTAGCCACACACATCGCCTTCTGTTGCAGCATGCTACACTAGGCCCTGTTTTTTGGCTCGGTGAAGTATAGACGCAAGATTTCTAGCTTAGTTTGGGACCCCAACCCCTCTTCAGAAACAAAAAACGCAAAAACCATGCTCCCACCTCTGCGCCATTTCGAGCGAACTTCGCCGCTGGGATATTCCCTTCGGGCATCGCTGGATCTTGGACCTGAGAAGTGCTGCCAGCATTGAAGCCATGCTGACAGGCGCGATTCAAGCTGCATGCAGATACATACGCATACCTATGTATCTCTATCTATAAGTATGTGCACATGCGAACGTAACAGAAGATATACATACACGTACACACACAGCATGTAACGAGAGACAGTGAGAATGACTTATTTACATGTATTACGTACACACATGCATGCATAAATACATTGCATGTACCCATGCATGTATGCATCTACCCATCAAGCCATCTGTGCATTGATACATTCGTACATTACATTACATTACATTACATTACATTACATTACATTACATGACATTACATTACATTACATTACATTACATTACATTACATTACATTACCTTGCACTAAGTTGCGTTGCTTTACATTACATTGCACTACTTTCCCTTTACACTACATCACCAACCATCACAACAAATCGCCCTAGTTCCTGTGAACACACACCCTCCGGGGAAAGAGCCCAGCCGAGGCGGCGCGAGACGAACAAATGTAAGTTGCAGAAATCCTCTGGTACGAGTAGTGATCCTTGCTGGTGTGAACTTGTGAATAGCTTTCGTACAGCACTTGCTGCAGCATATCTCATGCTACCCTGCTGTCTTAGGTATGGGGAGGAGGTACGATCGCTGAGGCCTTAAGGCAAAGACTTTCTAAATACCTCTCTTTCATGCATGGCGGGCCCTCTTCTTGAGCCTTGGACCGAACAACGAGCAACTCACATGGGTAAACCTGAGTGCATCACAATATAGACTTCAAATTGAGGCCTCTGCAGGTCCTCGAACGAAGACTAGCAGACTAGCGAATACAAACGCATCGAGATGGGAAGGTTTTTACTACTCCAAGAAGTCTCATCAGAAGAAAGCCAGCAGCTAGTCCCAGGAAGCCTCCGAGCCCTCCCTCCCTCCTCTTTTCGTCCCATCTTCTCGCGACTTGACTCCTTGGTCAGTTGTGGCATCGACTGCAGGATCCTCCCAGCTGTTGAAATGCCGAGATCTCTGGCGCAAGCCGCTGCCAATGAAGAGCTTCGATGCCTCTCTCTGCCCTAAACCGTTGGCCACTGTGGCTCCTGGAGCGACTTGAGCTCTGAGTCGTCCGAATCATATCGCTTTTGGGGCTACCCTAAGCCGCAAAAAAGAGGAAGCTGCACCGAGCGAATTGTCCGTATGTACAAATATTTACAGGTTGTTTCAGTCGTGTCCTCAACTGGCTGTCTGAAAAAAGACGTCGTGTTGTCTAACAATTCGGCCCAACGTGTTTGCAGCCAGGCCGCTAAATCGATGAGGCGATGAGGATCAGAGACTCGGCCTGCCCAGGGTTTTCGAGACGGTCTCAGGGCCCCCTAAAGACCACGCCTTCAACCTTTGGAGCCCAACCATCCTCTCTCCCCGACGAAGAATGCCAACCCTACTGTAGGCCCTAGCCGAGAGTTGATAGTCCTGTCCGCTGCGCCCCTGCCACGCAGAGCTATTCGGGAAGCTCGCATCGAATTGAGGAGCGTCGGGAGGTTACTGGCACGCTCGAGATGCGTAAGCCAGTGTTGAGAGGCAGGGCTGGGACAGCTGAGCCTCCACATGGACCCGGCAATCGGGGCCCTGAACAGCCCTAACCCCTAAACTTGGCACCAAACCCAAAAAACAAAGGTGCAACTCACATGGCGTGAAGCGGTTTTGCGGTGGGAGCCTGGCTGTGGAGCCCGCAGCCTGTCAGGGGCGATGCGAGCATCTTGTATTGAACAGACAACCATATATGTTTCGTTTCAACTTAATTATCAGGCTATCATGCTGATCCCCTTAACCCTAAACCCCTAAACCCTAAACCCTAAACCCTAAACCCGATGGTCCAAAGGCAACTTGCTACTTCTCGGCGAGCTGAGGCCGGCCTGCTCAACCTTCAGCGAATCGCCACCCGCCTGAGCAGCAAGGGCGTATACTATAGTGTATTATAGTATAGTATATTATAGTATATTATATTATATTATACTGCCTTCGCCACTTTTGCTCTTCATTGACAACTTCGGCTGTTTTGGGCGCCAGCTCTTATCCCCGAACCCCGAACCATCACTGCCTCATCCAGTTAGTCGCAGACAGGCACGAGTACCCCGAACCTGGCACCCCTGTGAGCAGCGCCTGCTTGACCGGGAAAGCCCTGGCCATCACTTGGAGATTGGGCAAAAGGATCTAACCAATCTAACGTAGGGGCGTAGGGGTCTTAATAGCTAGAACAGGGCTTTGGGGTGTATTCACAGATCATTCAGGCTCCTATCTTAGCAAATGCAGCTTTCAGGTTCGGAGTGTGCACTCCTCTGGAAAGCTTTCAATCCGACCGGGCTGTCAGGCGCTTCAAACTTCCGCTCTTTGACCTTTGCTCACGGTTTAGGATTTAGGGTTTATAGGGCTTAGGGTTTAGGCAGTGTCAGAAAGAGCATGACCAACAGCAGTCCGTCATAAACAGCTCAGCCTTTATTCCATCCGAGTCTTGTCTTCGCTGCATGGTCCTGATTCGCCCAGACCTCCGCAGCCCTGAAGCCCGAGCAGGGGATGCCGAACTTCCGCAGGAGCCAAGGCTCGTCCAGGAATCAATGCACCCTGCAGAAGTCACCCTTCTCGCCGCACATGTTGGAACATATCGGAAATCAAAGTTGCATAACTGCACAAGGATCTCCGCTGACTGTTGCATCGTAATTAGGATCGGCTCGGGCTAAGGCCAAGCCACCAAGGTGTACCACAATCGCCCGAAGGAGAAGCAAAAGTGTTTTTAAAGTGTGTCTTATGACCCTACTACGTAAAATGTGCAAGTCTATGTTTTTCGCATTGTACTGGGACGAATACACTGCCACTATGCTCCACTACCTTGGGCAATACAAATTTCAAATTTCTGAAGCCCAGTATCCAAGCAACAAAACCCCAAATACCCGACGGCGTGCAAACACCACTACTATAGGGGCCTTAAGCTGTAACCCTCAGGAGCCTTTTTTGAAACCTGCTTAAGCCCCTCTACGATCCAAACTCGTAACATGTTGGGCAGACCCTTCTTGCACCTTTGCTTCACACAGCTGACCAATGACCTGAGCAGAGCATCAAGCTATGGTTGGCGCTGGGAGTTGAAGGAAGCATAGGACAAGTATAAATTTCAATGACTTCGTCGGGTGGTCAAGTTGGGCTCCCGCTTCACGCTCTATCCCGCAGCATGCTTCCGGTGCACTTTTCAACATCCATCCTCTACCCAAATCTGAAACAGCAACGTGCTGAATCCTAAACGGTCCTAGACTTAAGACCCCACTTAGTGTCGCCGAAAGCCGCAGCTTAGTTGACACGATTGTGACCCCGTAGTTGTAACACCCTAACACCCAGACTCAGCCCCAAAACCATCGGCCCGAACCACCCGCAAATCGAAAATCTGAAGCCCTCACGCCTGAAACACCAAATCGCCATAAGAGAACTGTAACTGAACTCAAAAGTCAACGCACCCCGAAGTATGCATCATCAAGACTTCGTACTGCTCGTCCAAGGCCTCGATGGCCAGAGGCACTCCAGACTCTAACGCAGCGGAGGACACCTGGGTGGGTGGATGGCTGGCATGTCTTAATATAGGGACCCTATATAATAATTAGAATAGGGCTTTGGGGTATATAATGCTATATTCATAATAAGGAAAACCCAAAATAGTATAGGTAATTTGCCCCTACAGTAAGTCAAGAGCATGCGCATGTGCACATCACGCAGTACAGCCACACGCGACTCACTGTGTCACAAAGATATCAGGAAAAGCACAGGGTAAACATAGCTGCATGCCTACATACATACGTAAAAATTTAGTTTAACAAATACAAGATGTACAAAGGCGTGGTTATGTACATCAACACATAGTGGAGAGTCGGAGTCGGAGTCGGAGTCGGAGCAGGAGTAGGAGTAGTAGTCGTCGTCGTCGACGTCGTACGTAGTCGTACGTAGTCGTGTAGTATACTCGTGGTACGAGCTGTAGCTGCTGTTTGAGTACTCAGCAGCAGTTGTACTTAAACAAAGCGAAGGCAAGAACCATCGTCACGTTCTATGCTTACAGGTAAAGCAAGGTTGAAGTGACTGCTCTTCTGGGTTTGGCACCACCACGTTCAACACAAGTATTAGTTCGGGTTTGGCCACAGGCTTATGTACTGGGACATAGGCAGATGCGTACTAGTGCAGCAACTTGCGCGCGCAACTACTGTCAACTACTCAGGGCTGCACATAGCCGAAGGCGATGCTCTGCTCTGCAAGGTAGCCGTACCTTGTCAGGATGAAATAATGACATAAATATTCTGGCAGCGCCATGTCAGTTGAGAAGCAGTGCAAAACACCCGTCGCTGAGCAGACGGGACGTGCTTCCTCTCTTAGGCCTCTTAGGCTTGGACCCACCACTTGTTGTGAAGCCCACAACTTCTCCTTCACGGCTTCGAACTGACATCCAGATCTCTCATGCACCAACTGAACCAACCACGAATCAGGACGCTTTCCTTGGGTCTTAGAGAGCTCCTGTGACAGAGTTGAAGATGGACTCATTGCCGACGCAGTCAACACCTACCACCAAGATGCAACTGCGAGGCACGACAAAAGACAAGCTTCTGCACATGATCCTCGAGCCCTGTTGCACCTTCCGGACTGGTAACAGCCAGGTGCACTAATCGTCTCGCCTTAGCTGCAACTGCACTATCATAAGGAGATGGCCGATCATCAACAGCTGACTGTGTCATATAACAAGTTGGCATCATGTTCCATCATTACTGGACCCATGGGCCTTGCGAAACAATCGAAACAACAGAGCAAACCGTCGTCAACAAGTCCAACTCCGGGTCAAGATTAGAAGGCAGCATGTTTCGCATTCGTCTGTTGCCTGAGGGCTGCACGGGCTCTGGGCTTGCAGCGAGGGCATCTCTGCCAATGAAGTCTTTCCTGGCCGTTAGCATGTTCCAGCATGCCCGGTAGAAGCCTTCTCGCTTAAAGGCCGGTCTGGGGCTAGGGAGTTGACAAGAAATCGTTGCACAGCTTCCGCAAGCGCTCGCAGGCGTTGGCAGGCGGACGCAAGTTCGTTTTTCAGTATCGCGTGGTCCTGGAATGCGGACAAGTTAACAAGGAATTCCGCGCGAGGAATGTCCAGCGGTGCGGACGCCTCCGATGCATTAGGAAACGTGCCAGACCGACTCCATCCGCAGAAACTTTCCACCTTGGTCTCAAGCTACTGTGACTTGCATGTTTATAGGCTTCAGGATTGGAGGCTTCACAGCTATGTGTGCCTAAGAAGCGCGAGCTAAGAGACCATCCTGCTTTTCACCAGTCTTCTGAATCTGCAGGCTTCCGATAGGTCGCTGGCCTCGAGAAAATAACTAGTTTGGGACTCGTGTCTGGAAGCTTCGAGGCTCAGCATGGAACGTTGCCATGATGCAGTATATAAAAAGTAACATAGTAACATCTAATATTGTTTCAATTCAAACCATCACGTGACGAACGTTAAAGCGGAAAAAACGATGCAGGGTGTCTAAAACAGTCGGAATGTCTCGGCTAGGTTGACATCCAATCTCTGAAGACCCTGTACCTGGAGATACCTGGAGAAGCTTCAAATCTTGCACCTTAGGAACCCCTCCTCACCTCCTCATTTATCCCCTGATCCTCCCTAAACCCTAAACCCTAAACGCTGAGCTAAAAAAAGTAACGGCGACCGAGCCCTCCGCTGATCCCGGCTTCCAGGGCCTGGTGGTCCCTAGTCATATCCTGGCCATCTCGGGGGAGGGGGCGGATGGCGTGAGTCCTCAGGGGCTCTCTTCAGTCTTAGCACTTTAGCACTCACACAAGTACATACACACAATAGAACTCGGGGGTTAATGGCATTACTTGTCCTGGCATCAAGGTCGTCGGATGTTGGGCTTTCCACTTCGGTCGCCGGCTCTGTACAACGGCCCGGTCCCAATCATTCGGAACTCCGTTTTCTCAGAGGACGCTCTCAAAAAAAAAACCGTCAAGACGCAAGGCCCCAACCCTGAGCGCGAGCCCCGAAAGCCAATATAAAGCTCAAGTCTAAGGACTTTAGGAGGGACCCCTCATAGGGACCCTTAATCCCACTACCTTAAATAACCATTGTATAGTCCTTATATACCCCTTGTATAGCCAGGTAGTCTCCATATTAACCCGAATATCCTAAAAGGGTCCCTATTAAGGGTCCCTCCTAAAACCCTTAGA